AAAAAACTAGCACAACTACTTGTAAACCTGTCTCTTATACACATCTAGATGTGTATAAGAGACAGTTATCATCCATTGCATGATCTCTGTTAAATTTTCTTCCTGCCTGGCACTTACATCAACAACTTTGATAGGTTGCTTAGCAGCCTGAATTACATCATCCAATCGCATGAGCTGTTTAATATTGCAAGGCTTCACTTGAGATGGGATGTCACTAAAAATAAAAAGTTCCTTAGTTTATTTACTTTTATATTATTTTTCATTAATTCTTTTAAAATAATTATAATACAATAATAATAATAACAATATAATAATAATAATAATAATAATAATAATAATAATAATAATAATAATAATAATAATAATAATAAAAATAATAATAAAACATCATTTATAATGTGCTATCTATCTAGCATGCTATTTCTGAGGCGCTGTGACTCATGACGAAAATAAAAAGTATTTATTTATTTAATATACTGGAAAAGCAAAACAGTGAGGCTAAATTTACAAATTACCTAGTCGGAAAGTATTATATATTTATGTTATAATTGCAATTATAAATAAATTAACTAACAAGATCTTTAATTCTCATTTTCTATATATTATCCTTACCCTAATATGTTGATGATGGTGATATATTTTGACTCTGTTCATTAAACACATTAAGGTTAAATAGAAGGAGTCCTACTCACCTTCTATTAAAGATGATGATAAATGGTTTCTGCTGTAACTCTTTGTGGGAGAGAACAGTTAAAAGCTGTATACACGACGATGAAACTTGACAAGGATTTGCAACATCAATCACAAACTGAAAATTAAATAAAATTTAAATTTTACAAAAGAATATTTAGCTACGAAACTTGAACAATGGGAGTTGACTGCAGCCTTACCTTGTATGTTTACGGATGTAAATCAGAAAAAAACTGAATTGTTCTGATCTGCGTCTGTACGAACTTGTCTACGCTTTCAGTGCTTTGAGACTGTAAAGGTGTAAAGCACTACTGTATATAAATCCAACTATTATTATTTATATAATATTATTATTGTTGTAAATAAGTAATGTATTTGATCCTTATAATTAAGCATATCAGTGTTTTGATAAAATTTTCAGGATTTTGACAGATGTACATTAACTAAAATTTATCTTTAAGTTTATATTATTTTATCTGGTTTCTACATATAAAAGTAAAACAATTTTATAGACTTACCATCACTGCATGGCATTCGCTATAGTATTTGAACCAGATTGGTCCCATTGCACCACCGACCTCGCGTACAGAACCTTCTCGTTTTTTGTCAACACTCACTTTTACGATATTCGTCCCAACCTGTAAGTAAGTGATAAATGATAAACATTCTATTATCAATAACATAATACTGTAATAATAACAATAGTATTTATAAAAATAATTCTCTTCTTGCATCTATAACTATAGAAAATCTTTCTTTTTTCAATTCATCATGTTTCTTATTCTAGTTGGATGATATAAATATAAAATCAAGACAATAAATTTGATATTTATCTCACTGTTGGTATTGTTGACATTGACTTTTCAGATTCATCTTTGGTATAGAAATGTATGGCAGTTAAGGAATTAAGAAGATAGTTACAAGCGAAACATGCAACAACAGTACAATGTGTGCTCCAGACAGTAATTTTCCACGCAAACTTGAGCTGGTTTTTGAGGTATCATTCGCGCAATTAAAATTCTTTACATACAGTATGCTGTGTGCTACAGTGGGAAAATGTTAAATACATTCTACAAAAATATATTTTTGATAACATTGTACAGTAATGCAGATTAATAATATAATTCTAATACAACTTTGTATATTAATATTCTAAATTGTTTGGTCATTGACTTAGAATAATAGATACTATACATTTTTATTTTCATCGTTAAATATTTATTTTGTCTTCATTTTTCTTTATTGAGATTTTCTTGTTATTGTTGTCATAAACTGTTGTTTGTAATCATTCTAACTATGTTCTTTATAAATTAAATTATAAAAAAACGCGATTGAATTGTAAATAAGTGATGGTGTGTGTACCTTTTTCATGATTTGCGGATATTATATTGTACTAAGTAATTATAGACCAATAATTTATACTCTAAGCTCCGATTAGGGCTAGCCCTATGTTTACTTGGGCACATCGTTAACTCCCGTCGTCACTTTACTTGGCAGAGTGGCTTGCCAACTGCTACTGCTGGATAAGCGGCCTAGGCCTAGCTAGCCTAGAGAGGGCCTAGGCCTAGCTTAAGTGTAAGTGTAAAATTAGGTTTACTTAAATAATAAAGGATATTTTTTATTTTCCGTAAAAGTAGAGTCTTCCCGACACCAGTGGCACCTAGTAACAAATACATTACGAAATCATATCAGGAATATTAAGAATAAACTAAGCAGACTCTTGCAACCATTTTTTAGAATTTGGAATTTGTTGTTGTTTATGTTTATAGCGCCCTCTCTTTAAATTAGTATTGATTTTATTCCAATGATTACACCCCAAAAATTATTACATTTTGCTCTTTCCTATGATCGAATATAAACATTTTATTATTTTAAAGATATATAAATAACTGAAAAATAATATAGTATAATATTTGAACCACCTAATATATCTGCTTATTTCATTTCCCTGAACCGGAAACGTGTCAAAGGTCATGAACACCCTATTTACTTTTTTAGACGAAAAGAGTGATGATGCAGCAGTCATAAGACTATTTTGCTTTATCTCAATTTGTCGGATAAACAGATATTAGATATTTCAAAGTAGCATTACCTTGTGTCAAAATACAGACATGTTTAGCTCAGGCAAAGGAAATTTCGATAAGTTAATAGGTAAGTGAACAATTGTCCTTCGAATGTTACCTCCACTGGGCTACTACTACTACTACTAGTACTACTAGCCTAGATAGTAGTAGTAGTACTGGAACTGCTGCTCAGTCACCACAAAGTAAAAAGCAGTGTTTGCTGTTTAGGCCTAGTGTTACTTTAGAGGGTAGGCCCTAGGCCTATGTGTCCTTTCTTTATTTATGTGTATAAGCTGTGCTGTAGGCCCTAGTCTGGATTTTCTTCAGTTAATCAGATTTTTCTCTTTAAATGGACAGATAAAGCAACAAGCCAGTTACTTTTAGAGCCGGATTGGAACAGCATTTTACAAATATGTGATTCCATTCGACAAAGAGATGTTCAGTAAGTAGGCTACCTTATAACTGCTTTCTAGTCAAAACAGCAATAAGTCAAAACAGCAATGACCAAACAGCAGTAAACCAACACTGCAACACTTTTTGACAAGAATGGCAATGGACCAAAACAGCAATAAACCAAACCAAATAAATAAATAAATAAAACTTTAAAATACAGACAAAATGAGGCTACAACAATTTTTTGTCAGTAAAACACATGAAAAATAATAATAATAGTAATATAATAATAATATTTAATAATAATAATATTTAATAATAATAATAATAGGCCTAATAACAATATAATATACAAATTTAATAATAAAAAGATTGAGGAAACACAATATACCTGTAACACTGAACAGCAGTAAACATTCAAATAAATAAAACTTTAAAATACAAACAAAATCAGGCATCTAAACAATTTGTCATAGATGTGTAAAAAGAAAAAAAAAAAAACTAGCATAACTACTTGTAAACTGTTTCATTCCTGTTAATCCAACTACACCGTCATCCTAGTATAGCCAAAATTGGCTTTTTACTTTAGGATCCAGTCAAGTATCAAGTAAGGTCTATGCCTATTATTGCCTTTTTGGTCTGTTGCTATTTTGGTGCTTATCATAGCCGTTTCGGTTTATTGCCGTTTTGACCTGCTACCGTATAACCTTAAGTCTGGGTCTATTTTATTTTTCATTTTGTAGTAGTTTATTACTTTAGCGTTATGAATTATGACTCATGAGACTAATATTTACCTTGCCAATAGAGTACTACAGTGTTACGTCACGGAACCATGTGATGCTACTCCGTTGCTATCGGCGACACAAAATGCGTTCAACTGATGCCATTTTCTCTATTCTCAAACCATTGATCCCAATTTCTAACATAATTATTAAGAAGTTGTATCTTAATTTTTCTTTGTAAATGTTAATTGATGATTAAATATGTGTTCGATAACTAAAATGTGAGCTTTTCGTGTTTTTATTACATTTTGATGGTAAATTATTAGGTTTTAAAATGCCTATTCCAGAAAGCCTATTCTAAACCATTAAGATTATGAAGTCATTCAAGCATCCAGAGGCCGCCACCTGGTGATGTGACGACACAACTGTGGTACTCTATAAATATCAAGTTAATGGTTTTGTTAAGTCTGTAAATAAGTAATGTGAACTTGATTTGCCCAAGTCGACTTTGGCCAAGTCAACTCAGATAATTTCTATGTTGATTTTATTCTACATGCTAAATTGTTGTGTTTTACATTAATTAACAATCTGTAAGTCGAAAAATTTTTCAATGCTATTTTAGGCAATTTCAACTTTAATTGTTTTAATGTGTATCTCATTATAAATTTATATCATTTTGAAGTAATTAATAATTATGTTGTATTGTAAATTTTGTGTAAGAATATTTGCTTAGTATGTTTATGTGATTCATTACAAGTCATTAAGTTTTATTAATTTCATTAATTCCTTGTTTACAGTGTAATTATTGAATACCATAATTATCCATCTCTTTCTTATTCATATTTTTGTTGTTATTGACTTTTCATAGCTCTGAACTTTTCATACAGTAGCAAGTATACTAAGGATGATTAATTTTGATTATTTTGAATGGACTTGCCTAGATTTAAAATTTATCAAATGAAATTAAGTCAACATTTATTCACTTCCTTTTAAAAGAATAAAATTACAACAGAAGTTATTTTTATATAAAGTAAATACAAGGAATTATTTATGAGCTATTAACTATTTAAACAAACAGTTGAGGTGAACATTTTATTGTTATGAAAAAAAACCTATTATATTAATGCTTTTTATAAATATTCCAACGATTTTAGTTTGTTTCTTTTTTTTTCCTTTAGACCCAAGTATGCTTTTTCAGCGATAAGAAAGAAAATTGTAGATAAAAACCCACGTGGTGCTTTATATGCTTTACAGGTAAGTTATACAATAATAAACATGATTGTAATAATGGGGAGTGGGGACACAGGAATTGTCTTGTGCCTATAATTACCATTCAATCAATCTTTATTCCACATCTTTTTTTCATTACAAAAAACAAAAAAGTTAAAAATTATGGGAAAGGGAAAATCATGACAAGCAAATATATATATATATATATATATATATATATATACAGTCAACTCTCCCAATACCGACCACCCTTCGGACCGTCCACTTTGACCGGTTTTCCGGACGGACCGGTTTAGAGAACGTCATGTTTACCTACCTTGGTTCCCCGACCTTGAGTCAATAATAAGCCTAGGCCTAGCAAGGTACAGCAGA